GGATGGATGCATGGTATCTTGTAGAGATATATATGTAGTTATCTAAAGTTTGCCCAATTTGACTCACATGCATAAAGCGGGTAATTACAAAATCATCTATTTGTGGTATGTCAAAGCACAAGAGACGACTGTCAACGCTTTAATCTCTCCTTGTTAAGGATTTGGTGCATATTGTGTTACACAACAAGGTCAACAACTCATGGCCATTCTGGATTGGAAACAGATCCAGAATGGCGTGTGGAAACCCAATTCATTACTCAGCTTATGCTACCCATGTTATGCACATATCTCAATAACATTACAGGGCATCCTGAGCTATGATATGTCATAGGTCGTGTGAAGAATCATATCTGTAGAGCAGATGCGGATGTTATTTATGCGTTCAGTCATATCTGTAAATTCAACCTAAATCGACGTAGGCGTAACATCTACTGATACTTCCGCTTCCATGTGAGGTGGTTATTACCATATGAAGTATTGGTTTGTGATACTGTCGGAATACCAGGTGTAGGGCTAGCATCAACATCAGGCTGCGAGTATCGACACCAGTAGTACGTCCCACTGTTGCTTGATAAGAATTAACCCGCATACAATATCCCGTGTTTCCATTGGTTGACCCACATAGCGGTGATTAGTGGCTGGTGACTGCGCAGGCGGATACACGAAGCAGTCAACAAGCCTAGTTGTGGGCAGATTGGTTACGTAACAACACAGACAGAGTCTCACAATTTAGGTATGTATGTATTATGGTATTATGGTATACGGTATTAATGTACATAAATGTGTAAACAACAGAACCGTAGTTCCAAGCAGAATAACGGTATACAGTATCTGAGTTAGGTATCCTTGTTTAATTACGGGGTATCGATAAACACAACACATAAACACAACAGCTGCCTACAACCAACTTATCACCAAGCAATCTTAATCCCATTATTCTCCTGTCTTTCATATCACTGGCTTCCTCCCAATAATCCCCCCATAGCTTACACTGATTGTGTAACAATTGACTTCTTGTGTAAACATCCTCCAACCTTGTAGGGGCGGTGGGGGTAGCCTAGTGGTTAAAGCGTTGGCTCGTCACGCCGAAGGCCCGGGTTCGATTCCCCACATGGGCACAATTTGTTAAGCCTATTTCTGGTGTCCCACGCCGTGATATTGCTGGAATATTGCTAAAAGCGGCGTAAAACTAAAACTCAGTCAGTCCAACCTTGTACATCAACCTCATTAAGTGTGCCAGAATAACTAACGAACGATGATTATGAGAGAGCGAAGTCATATCTTTAATCAGTAGAAGATTGGTTGTATTGAGTTGACTTGAGATGAGATTGACTGTAACAATAAACAAAACTAACTTAGATTCACATACAGCAGTAATGTCAAATGTTTACAACAGTACATAACTTAGTCATAACGTATTACGGACTGCATAGTTTTCATTTATTCACTTACAATAACTTATATGGTTACCAAATCATTGCAAACATATCAATTCATGATGTTTTCTTGCCGTTTTATATGCGCTCTCATGAAGACGAACATACTAACTTGCCTGACGACCATGCATGTCGCCACGAGACCTTCGAAACATGTGACAAAGCACCTGTAATTATCTGCCCTTTAATCACCTGTAATTATCTGCCCTTTAGTTTTAAATGCTCTGCGCCCAAATGAGATCACTTGAAATAATAAATCAAACCAGATCCTACACCGAAACGTTGCTCATATTATATTAAAGTTGTATATCCATAGAACTCTCCTCGTTGTGTATAGATACAACAGTGTTTGGATACAACAGTGTATGGATACGGCAGTGTATGTATACAGCAGTGTTTTGATACGGCAGTGTATTGATACAACAGTGTATGCAGTAGGTTCCAGGTTCCTGGTCATGCGATCATGCAACACGTCCAGTTCACATACACTGATGACTCACAGGGATGTCCAGCTTAGTTCTCCTCGGGAATTGAATTGGTTATGCATAACGGGCCTGCCCGCAGATCCGATCCGATAGTTCTATGTTTTTCGGATCGTGTTCAGCTTTTGCAAGTGGCTTTGTTTTTGCAATGCAAAGCCATAGTAGGGGGGGGATTGGGGAATTGTTTGTTCAGTCAAAATCATTGTGTGTGTTTGCAGAGATTCAGCACCTGCAGTATAGGGGTATCTTTACATCATGTGCCTGACTGGATGGATGCATGGTATCTTGTAGAGATATATATGCAGTTATCTAAAGTTTGCCCAATTTGACTCACATGCATAAAGCGGGTAATTACAAAATCATCTATTTGTGGTATGTCAAAGCACAAGAGACGACTGTCAACGCTTTAATCTCTCCTTGTTAAGGATTTGGTGCATATTGTGTTACACAACAAGGTCAACAACTCATGGCCATTCTGGATTGGAAACAGATCCAGAATGGCGTGTGGAAACCCAATTCATTACTCAGCTTATGCTACCCATGTTATGCACATATCTCAATAACATTACAGGGCATCCTGAGCTATGATATGTCATAGGTCGTGTGAAGAATCATATCTGTAGAGCAGATGCGGATGTTATTTATGCGTTCAGTCATATCTGTAAATTCAACCTAAATCGACGTAGGCGTAACATCTACTGATACTTCCGCTTCCATGTGAGGTGGTTATTACCATATGAAGTATTGGTTTGTGATACTGTCGGAATACCAGGTGTAGGGCTAGCATCAACATCAGGCTGCGAGTATCGACACCAGTAGTACGTCCCACTGTTGCTTGATAAGAATTAACCCGCATACAATATCCCGTGTTTCCATTGGTTGACCCACATAGCGGTGATTAGTGGCTGGTGACTGCGCAGGCGGATACACGAAGCAGTCAACAAGCCTAGTTGTGGGCAGATTGGTTACGTAACAACACAGACAGAGTCTCACAATTTAGGTATGTATGTATTATGGTATTATGGTATACGGTATTAATGTACATAAATGTGTAAACAACAGAACCGTAGTTCCAAGCAGAATAACGGTATACAGTATCTGAGTTAGGTATCCTTGTTTAATTACGGGGTATCGATAAACACAACACATAAACACAACAGCTGCCTACAACCAACTTATCACCAAGCAATCTTAATCCCATTATTCTCCTGTCTTTCATATCACTGGCTTCCTCCCAATAATCCCCCCATAGCTTACACTGATTGTGTAACAATTGACTTCTTGTGTAAACATCCTCCAACCTTGTAGGGGCGGTGGGGTAGCCTAGTGGTTAAAGCGTTGGCTCGTCACGCCGAAGGCCCCGGGTTCGATTCCCCACATGGGCACAATTTGTTAAGCCTATTTCTGGTGTCCCACGCCGTGATATTGCTGGAATATTGCTAAAAGCGGCGTAAAACTAAAACTCAGTCAGTCCAACCTTGTACATCAACCTCATTAAGTGTGCCAGAATAACTAACGAACGATGATTATGAGAGAGAGCGAAGTCATATCTTTAATCAGTAGAAGATTGGTTGTATTGAGTTGACTTGAGATGAGATTGACTGTAACAATAAACAAAACTAACTTAGATTCACATACAGCAGTAATGTCAAATGTTTACAACAGTACATAACTTAGTCATAACGTATTACGGACTGCATAGTTTTCATTTATTCACTTACAATAACTTATATGGTTACCAAATCATTGCAAACATATCAATTCATGATGTTTTCTTGCCGTTTTATATGCGCTCTCATGAAGACGAACATACTAACTTGCCTGACGACCATGCATGTCGCCACGAGACCTTCGAAACATGTGACAAAGCACCTGTAATTATCTGCCCTTTAATCACCTGTAATTATCTGCCCTTTAGTTTTAAATGCTCTGCGCCCAAATGAGATCACTTGAAATAATAAATCAAACCAGATCCTACACCGAAACGTTGCTCATATTATATTAAAGTTGTATATCCATAGAACTCTCCTCGTTGTGTATAGATACAACAGTGTTTGGATACAACAGTGTATGGATACGGCAGTGTATGTATACAGCAGTGTTTTGATACGGCAGTGTATTGATACAACAGTGTATGCAGTAGGTTCCAGGTTCCTGGTCATGCGATCATGCAACACGTCCAGTTCACATACACTGATGACTCACAGGGATGTCCAGCTTAGTTCTCCTCGGGAATTGAATTGGTTATGCATAACGGGCCTGCCCGCAGATCCGATCCGATAGTTCTATGTTTTTCGGATCGTGTTCAGCTTTTGCAAGTGGCTTTGTTTTTGCAATGCAAAGCCATAGTAGGGGGGATTGGGGAATTGTTTGTTCAGTCAAAATCATTGTGTGTGTTTGCAGAGATTCAGCACCTGCAGTATAGGGGTATCTTTACATCATGTGCCTGACTGGATGGATGCATGGTATCTTGTAGAGATATATATGCAGTTATCTAAAGTTTGCCCAATTTGACTCACATGCATAAAGCGGGTAATTACAAAATCATCTATTTGTGGTATGTCAAAGCACAAGAGACGACTGTCAACGCTTTAATCTCTCCTTGTTAAGGATTTGGTGCATATTGTGTTACACAACAAGGTCAACAACTCATGGCCATTCTGGATGGGAAACAGATTCAGAATGGCGTGTGGAAACACAATTCATTACTCAGCTTATGCTACCCATGTTATGCACATATCTCAATAACATTACAGGACATCCTGAGCTATGATATGTCATAGGTCGTGTGAAGAATCATAGACCTACCTGTAGAGCAGATGCGGATGTTATTTATGCGTTCAGTCATATCTGTTAATTCAACCTAAATCGACGTAGGCGTAACATCTACTGATACTTCCGCTTCCATGTGAGGTGGTTATTACCATATGAAGTATTGGTTTGTGATACTGTCGGAATACCAGGTGTAGGGCTAGCATCAACATCAGGCTGCGAGTATCGACACCAGTAGTATGTCCCACTGTTGCGTGTATGAATTAACCCGCATACAATATCCCGTGTTTCCATTGGTTGACCCACATAGCGGTGATTAGTGGCTGGTGACTGCGCAGGCGGATACACGAAGCAGTCAACAAGCCTAGTTGTGGGCAGATTGGTTACGTAACAACACAGACAGAGTCTCACAATTTAGGTATGTATGTATTATGGTATTATGGTATACGGTATTAATGTACATAAACATGTGTAAACAACAGAACCGTAGTTTCAAGCAGAATAACGGTATACAGTATCTGAGTTAGGTATCCTTGTTTAACTATGGGGTATTGATTGGCTGCCCAGATACACTCTCATCAGTTTCCTATGTAAGTGAGCTATTGCGACCCAAACCAACTCACTTCAGTTTACTGTGTATATTGTACATGGGGAAACTTCTCCGAAAACGGCATTTGTATCAACTCAACCAGTTGATGTATGTGTACTGAACTGACCAGCTGCTTCCGCGTGCTGGACAGATTTAACTATATAAAACACAATTCTCGGGGAATGTTCACTACGTCATGTTATAAAAATACATGAGGTCTGTGTCAGGAAGTCTAATTGAAAAGTTTGGCAGTGAGTTCTGTGTCAGGGAGTCTAATGGTAAGTTTGTCAGTGAGATCTGTGTCAGGGATTCTAATGGTAAGTTTGGCAGTGAGATCTGTGTCAGGAAGTCTAATGGTAAAGGTTGTCAGTGAGATCTGTGTCAGGGTGTCTAATGGTAAAGTTTGACAGTGAGATCTGTGTCAGGGAGTCTAATGGTACGTTTCTCAGTGAGATCTATGTGAGGAAGTCTAATCGTAAGTTTGGCAGTGATATCTATATCAGGAAGTCTAATGGTAAAGTTTGGCAGTGAGTCCCCTGTCAGGGAGTCTAATGGTACGTTTGGCAGTGAGATCTATGTGAGGAAGTCTAATCGTAAGTTTGGCAGTGATATCTATATCAGGAAGTCTAATGGTAAAGTTTGGCAGTGAGTCCCCTGTCAGGGAGTCTAATGGTAAAGTTTGTCAGTGAGTTCTGTGTCAGGGAGTCTAATGGTAAAGTTTGGCAGTAAGATCTATGTCAGGAGTCTAATGGTAAGTTTGGCAGTGAGATCTATGTCAGGGCGTGTAATGGTAAAGTATGGCAGTGAGATCTTTGTCAGGGAGTCTAATGGTAAAGTTTGGCAGTAAGATTTATGTCAGGGAGTCTAATGGTAAAGTTTGGCGGTGAGATCTATGTCAGGAGTCTAATGGTAAGTTTGGCAGTGAGATCTATGTCAGGGAGTCTAATGGTAAAGTTTGTCAGTGAGTTCTGTGTCAGGGTGTCTAATGGTAAAGTTTGTCAGTGAGTTCTGTGTCAGGGAGTCTAATGGTAAAGTATGGCAGTAAGATTTATGTCAGGGTGTCTAATGGTAAAGTTTGTCAGTGAGTTCTGTGTCAGGGTGTCTAATGGTAAAGTTTGTCAGTGAGTTCTGTGTCAGGGAGTCTAATGGTAAAATTTGGCAGTGAGATCTATGTCAGGGAGTCTAGAAGTAAGTTTGGCAGTGAGGTCTATGTCAGGGCGTGTAATGGTAAAGTTTTGCAGTGAGATCTGTTTCAGGGAGTCAAATGGTAAGTTTGGCAGTGGGATCTGTGTCAGGGAGTCTAAAGGTAAAGTTTGGCAGTAAGATCTATGTCAGGGAGTCTAATGGTAAGTTTGTCAGTGAGATCTATGTCAGGGAGTCTAATGGTAAAGTTTGGCAGTGAGATCTGTGTTAATAAGTCTAATGGTAAGTTTGGCAGTGAGATCTATATCAGGAAGTCTAATGGTAAAGTTTGTCAGTGAGATCTGTGTCAGAGCTAATGGTAAGTTTGTCAGTGAGTTCTATGTCAGGAAGTCTAATGGTAAAGTTTGGCAGTGAGTTCTGTTTCAGGAAGTCTAATGGTAAGTTTGTCAGTGAGATCTATGTCAGGGAGTCTAATTGTTAAATTTGGCGATGTGATCTAAGTCAGGGAGTCTAATGGTAAGTTTGGCAGTGAGATTTATGTCAGGGAGTCTAATTGTAAAAGCTTGTCAGTGACATCTGTGTCAAGGAGTCTAAAGTTAAGTTTTGGCAGTGAGATCTATGTCATGGGGTCTAATTGTAAGTTTGGCAGTGAGATCTAGATCAGGGCGTCTAATGGTAAAGTTTGGCAGTGAGTTCTGTCTCAGGGAGGCCAATGGTAAAGTTTGGCAGTGAGATCTATGTTAGAAAGTCTAATCGTAAGTTTGGCAGTGAGATCATTGTCAGGAAGTATAATGGAAAAGTTTGGCAATGAGTTCTGTTTCAGGAAGTCTAATGGTAAGTTTGTCAGGGAGTTTTGCGTCAGGAAGTCTAATGGTAACTTTGTCAGTGAGATCTGTGTCAGGGAGTCTAATGGTAAAGTTTATGCAGTGAAATCTGTGTCAGGGAGTGTAATGGTAATGTTTGGCAGTGAGTTCTGTCTCAGGGAGTCTAATGGTTAAATTTGGCAGTGAGATCTATGTCAGAAAGTCTAATCGTAAGTTTGGCAGTGAGATCATTGTCAGGAAGTATAATGGAAAATTGTGTCAGTGAAATCTATATCAGGTAGTCTAATGGTAAGTTTGGCAGTTGGATCTATGTCAGGAAGTCTAATGGTAAAGGTTGGATTTGAGATCTGTTTCAGGAAAAGTCTAATGGTAAGTTTTTCAGTGAGTTTTGCGTCAGGAAGTCTAATGGTAAGATTTGGAGTAAGATCTATGTCAGGGAGACTAATCGTAAGTTTGTGAGTGAGATCTGTATCAGAGCTAATTGTAAGTTTGTCAGTGAGATCTGTGTCTGGAAGTCTAATGGAAACGTTTGGCAGAGACTTCTGTGTCAGGATGTCTAATGGTAAAGGTTGTCAGTGAGATCTGTGTCAGGAAGCATAATGGTAAAGGTTGTCACTGAGATCTGTGTCAGGAGGTCTAATGGTAAAGGTTGTCAGTGAGATCTGTGCCAGGAAGTCTAATGGTAAGTTCGGCTGTGAGGTCTATGTCAGGGAGACTAATGGTAAGTTTGTCAGTGAGATCTGTGTCAGAGCTAATGGTAAGTTTGTCAGTGAGATCTGTGTCAGGGATTCTAATGGAAAGTTTGGCAGTGAGATCTGTGTCAGGGAATCTAATGGGAAAGTTTGTCAGTAAGATCTGTGTCAGGGAGTCTAATGGTAAGTTTGGCAGCCAGTTTTCTGTCAGGAAGGCTAATCGTAAGGTTGGCAGTGAGATCTATATCAGAAAGTCTAATGGTAATGTTTGTCAGTGAGTTCTGTTTCAGGAAGTGTAATGGTAAGTTTGTCAGTAAGTTTTGCGTCAGGAAGTCTAATGGTAACTTTGTCAGTGAGATCCATGTCAGGAGTCTAATGGTAGGTTTGTCAATGATATCTGTGTCAGAGCTAATGGTAAGTTTGTCAGTGAGTTCTATATCAGGAAGTCTAATGGTAAAGTTTGTCAGTGAGTTCTGTTTCAGGAAGTGTAATGGTAAGTTTGTCAGTAAGTTTTGCGTCAGGAAGTCTAATGGTAACTTTGTCAGTGAGGTCTGTGTCAGAGCCAATGGTACGTTTGTCAGTGAGTTCTGTGTGAGGAAGTCTGATGGAAACGTTTCGCAGTGAGTTCTGTGCCAGGTATTCTAATGGTAAGTTTGGCAGTGAAATCTGTGTCAGGAAGCCGAATGGTAAAGATTGTCAGTGAGATCTGTGTCAGGAAGCCTAATGGTAAGTTTGGCAGTGAGATTTGTGTCAGGAAGCCTAATGGTAAGTTTGGCAGTGAGATTTGTGTCAGGGAGACTAATGGTAAGTTTGTCAGTGAGATCTGTTTCAGAGCTAATGGTAAGTTTGTCAGTGAGGTCTGTGTCGGGAAGTCTAATGGACACGTTTGGCAGTGACATCTATGTCAGGGAGTCTAATGGTAAAGTTTGTCAGTGAGATCTATGTCAGGAAGTCTAATCGTACGTCTGGCAGTGAGGTCTATATCAGGAAGTCTAATGGTAAGGTTTGTCAGTGAGATCTATGTCAGAGAGTGTAATGGAAAGTTTCGCAGTGAGGTGTATGGCAGGGAGTCTTATGGTAAAGTTTGGCAGTGAGATCTGTGTCAGGGCGTGTAATTGTAATGTTTGGCAGTGAGTTCTGTCTCAGGGAGTCTAATGGTAAAGTTTCTAAGTGAGATATATGTCACGGAGTCTAATGGTAAAGTTTGGCAGTGAGATCTATGTCAGGGAGACCAATGGTAAGTTTGTCAGTGAGATCTGTGTCAGGAAGTCTATGGACACATTTGGCAGTGAGATCTATGTCAGGGAGTCTAATGGTAAAGTTGAAAGTGAGATCTGTGTTAGGAAGTCTAATGGTACGTTTGAGAGTGAGATCTATGTCAGGGTGTCTAATGGTAAAGTTTGGTAGTGAGATCTATATCAGGAAGTCTAATCGTACGTTTGGCAGTGAGGTCTATATCAGGATGTCAAATGGTTAAGTTTGGCAGTGAGTTTTGCGTCAGGAAGTCTAAAAGTAAGTTTGGCAGTGAAATCTATGTGAGGGAGACTGATGGTAAGTTTGTCGGTGAGATCTGTGTCAGAGCTAATGGTAACTTTGTCAGTGAGATCCATGTCAGGAGTCTAATGGTAGGTTTGTCAATGATATCTGTGTCAGAGCTAATGGTAAGTTTGTCAGTAAGTTTTGCGTCAGGAAGTCTAATCGTACGTCTGGCAGTGAGGTCTATATCAGGAAGTCTAATGGTAAGGTTTGTCAGTGAGATCTATGTCAGGGAGACTGATGGTAAGTTTGTCGGTGAGATCTGTGTCAGAGCTAATGGTAGGTTTGGCAGTGAGTTCTGTGTCAGGATGTCTAATGGTAAAGGTTGTCAGTGAGATCTGTGTCAGGAAGTCTAATGGTAAAGGTTGTCACTGAGATCTGTGTCAGGAAGTCTAATGGTAAACTTTGGCAATGAGATCTGTGTCAGGGAGTCTAATGGTAAGTTTGTCAGTGAGTTTTGCGTCAGGAAGTCTAATAGTAAGTTTGGCAGTGAGATCTATGTCAGGGAGACTGATGGTAAATTTGTCGGTGAAATCTGTGTCAGAGCTAATTGTAAGTTTGGCAGTGAGTTCTGTTAGGAAGTCTAATCGTAAGTTTGGCAGTGAGATCTGTGTCAGGGACTCTAATGGTAAGT